TACCACTTCTCTAATTCTCTATGCTAAGTGTCATTCTTAGTACCTGTTCTTATTCTGTAATCGTTAAAGGAGATCCAAAGGAAATCCATGATTTGCACTCATCCTCATAGTTAGAGCCGACTTGTGACAAAGAAGCTGTCACAGGTCGGCTCTATTGATCGGGAAGTGAGCAGAAACATCCAGCCGATCCGCTCACTTCCCGATAGTCTCCCTGCAGTGAGCAGTTACTGTCAGTCACGGCTCCCCGTAGGCATTCCCCCCTCCCCTCTCCGATCCTTCAGCGTTGAGTAGAAGAACGGACGGGGGAGGAGACGGGCACAGCGGGCTCTGCCTCTAGCTAGGCAGAGCCAGCTGTCACAGCTGGGTGGATCTCAACTGTTTTGTCTGGACCCGTCCCGGCTGCGGCAGCCTCAGTATATCGTGAGAAATAGCCCGCTATATACTGAGCTTTGGGTCGGGGAGGAGGTTAGTTTATGTCCTCCCGTGACATAGGGAGAACTATGAGGAAAAACACTTACCCCGTAGTTCTCTTTTCAATTTTGGCATTGATATTGAAAATATGACTGACCCTGCCAAAAAAAAAACTGTCTTTTATTTAGAGACAGTGATCATGTGAAGCCATCTATTATCACATAGTTGTTTGACTCCTTTTTAAATCATAATGATAACAGAAAATCACCCAAATGGCCCTGATGAAAAGTGTACATACCCTGGAATGTTTGGCCTCGTTAGACACACAAGGTGACACACACACACACACACACACACACGTTAAAATGGCAATTAAAAAGGTAATTTCCAACATTTGTGGCTTTTTAAATTGCAATTAGTGTCTGTGTATATATAGTCAATGAGTTTGTTCGCTCTCACATGGATGCACTGAGCAGGCTAGAAACTGAGCCATGGGGAGCAGAAAAGAACTGTCAAAAGACCTGCGTAACAAGGTAATGGAACTTTATAAAGATGGAAAGGTATATAAAAATGCCAGTCAGAACTGTTTAATCACGTATTAAGAAGTGGAAAATTCAGGGATCTATTGACACCAAGTCAAGGTCAGGTAGACCAAGAAAGATTGCAGCCACAACTGCCAGAAGAATTGTACAGGATATAAAAAGGTAATCTCAGGAGAAATACAGGCTGCTCTGGAAAAAGATGGTGTTGTTGTTTCAAAGAGCACAATACGACAATACTTGAACAAAAATGAGCTGCATGGCCGAGTTGCCAGAAAGAAGCCTTTACTGCACCAATGCCACAAAAAAAGCCTTACAATATGTCTAACAACGCCTCACAGCTTCTGGCACTGTCATTTGGAGTGACGAGACCAAAATAGAGCTTTTTGGTCACAACCATAAGCGCTATGTTTGGAGAGAGGTCAACAAGGCCTATAGCGACAAGAATACCATCCCCACTGTGAAGCATGGCGGTGGCTCACTGATTTTTTTTTTGGGGGGGGGGGTGAGCTCTAAAGGCACAGGAGATCTTGTGAAAATTGATTGCAAGATGAATGCAGCATGTTAGCTCTAAAGGCACGGGGAATCTTGTGAAATTTGATAGCAAGATGAATGCAGCATGTTAGCTCTAAAGGCATGGGGAATCTTGTGAAATTTGATGGCAAGATGAATGCAGCATGTTAGCTCTAAGCCCTCGTTCACACCTGACCGTTTTGTAGCGCATTCTACGCTTGACGAACGCTCTACAAAACAGTCAAAAATATAAATTGCATTGTAGTCAATGGTCTTGTTCCCACCTTGGCATATTTCCGCCCGTCCCTAACGCGCTACAAAACGGCCCACGCCTGAAAAGGTCCAGGTACTACTTTGGGCCGTTTTGTTTGCGCGTTTCTATTGGGATACAGCCAAGTAGCCTTCGGAAACGCGCAACTTTTTTTACCGCGAATCGCAGTAAAAAAAACGTGCGACAGACGCGCATATGCAATACGCCTAGGTGTGAACGAGGGCTAAAAGGCACGGGGAATCTTGTGAAATTTGATGGCAAGATGAATGCAGCATGTTATCAGAAAATACTGGCAGACCATTTGCATTCTTCTGCACAATAGCTGCGCATGGGACACGCTTGGACTTTCCAGCGCAACAATGATCCTAAGCACAAGACCAAGTTGACCCTCCAGTGGTTACAGCAGAAAAAGGTGACGGTTTCGTAGTGGCCATTACAGTTCCGACCTTAATATCACCGAGCCACTCAAATGTGTGGTTCATGCAAGACGACCAAAGACCTTGCATGACCTAGAGGCATTTTGCCAAGACGAATGGTCAGCTAAAGCACCTGCAAGAATTCGAGCCTCATAGACCACTATTACAAAAGAATGTACGCTGTCATTGATGCTAAAGGGGGGCAATACACAGTATTAAGAACTAAGGGGGTGCAGACTTCTGAACAGGGCTCATTTCATTTTTTTTTTAATTTGTTGCCATGTTTTGTTTTATGATTGTGCCATTCTGTTATGACCTACAGTTCAATATGAATCCCATAAGAAATAAAAGAAATGTTTTACCTGCTCACTCATGTTTTCTTTACAAATGGTACATATATTACCAATTCTCCAAGGATATGCAAATGTTTGAGCACAACTGTTAGGATCGTGGTGTGAGCCCGAAGTGACGAGGAGGACCTCCCTTGCAACCCCGTCTGATGACCACTGGGGTTGAGAACAGTAGGTTCAGGCAGGGGATGCACGAGTGCCGGATGCGGATCTTGAGGCCACAAGGTCTACTTGATGACCTAGCAGAATGGCCGTCGTGCTAGAAGGATACAGCAAAAGGGAGAGTGAGAGACAAGCCGGGTCAATAACCTGCGGGCAGCAGAGTACAAGGGGTTAACCAGAGAAGGGTCAATGGACAAGCCGGGTCAATATTTAGGAAGGCACTGGAGACAGGAATCACAATGGGGAAGAGCAGGAGCAAGGCAAGGCAAGGCAAGGCACAAGGGAACAGGCAAAACAACCACAGAACCCTCCAGTGCTGGCTGAAGATCACCCAGCACTGAATGGGCGTCCTGCGGCGTCTTATATAGCCCGAGGACGTGCTACTGCGCATGCGCCGGCGTGATGACGTCACCGCGCCGTATTGCCGCGATGACGTCACGCCGCGCGGGACGTGACCCGCTGGGCCGTCTTCCATTTGCGCCTGCGCGGCCGGGACGTGCCGGTGGACGCCCTCTATGTCTGCGTCCCTGCAGAGGGACTCGGCATCTTCCCCGGGCAGGTACCTGACAACAACTGTATACACTGACAGTGCTGATGAGCCTCTTTCACCAGAACTACTGACCATATACCACCAGCACCGATGACAATACACTGACAGTGCAGATGAGCCTCTTTCATCAGAACTACTGACCATATACCACCAGCATCGATGACAATACACTGACAGTGCAGATGAGCCTCTTTCATCAGAACTACTGACCATATACCACCAGCACCGATGACAATACACTGACAGTGCAGATGAGCCTCTTTCATCAGAACTACTGACCATATACCACCAATGACAATACACTGACAGTGCCGATGAGCCTCTTTCACCAGAACTACTGACCATATACCACAAGCACCGATGACAATACACTGACAGTGCAGATGAGCCTCTTTCATCAGAACTACTGACCATATACCACCAGCACCGATGACAATACACTGACAGTGCAGATGAGCCTCTTTCACCAGAACTACTGACCATATACCACCAGCACCGATGACAATACACTGACAGTGCAGATGAGCCTCTTTCATCAGAACTACTGACCATATACCACCAGCATCGATGACAATACACTGACAGTGCAGATGAGCCTCTTTCATCAGAACTACTGACCATATACCACCAGCACCGATGACAATACACTGACAGTGCAGATGAGCCTCTTTCACCAGTGCTTCAACCTATATAATGCATATGATGTTCCCTATAGGTGATGAATGGGGAAACCTCTTTTTGATGAGTGCAGTTGTCACATGTGGAATATAATGCAGCGATCGATCTGCAGGAACAGAAAACGAATTGATAATGATAACATAGGTATAATGCTTTGTCTGTCATTAGTCGTGCCTTTGTCACAGCACAATAAAGCGCCGACTGCAGTTCTCCCCGCCAAGCCAATGAGTGGCCCTGACTGCTGCAGTGTCCTTCAATAAGTGACAATCAAGGAGTGACATCAGCCTGGCTGAAACATGCCTCCCTCCTATACACAATCCGTTCAGGCGGCCCACTACACTATAGCATCTGCTAATGTCTCCCGAATCGGGGGATTACCGGGAGAACACCGGGAAACTCACCTATGGTCACCACGGCAACCACTTTCAGCACCCATCCATTAGGGACCAAATTCACCCAGCTGTAACACTGGCAGCGGTAGGCTATCCTCAGGCCAATACGTGGCCAATCACATGACGGCTCCTTAAAAGCACGCCCACTACAGCAGCGTGCCGGAAGCCACATTGTTACTCCCGGTAGAAAGAGGGCATACAGAAGTCAGCTGCCTGCGTGCCTCCGCGCCATTGCGCGTCCCCGACATTCAGTTCGCACACTGCGCATGAGCACTCTCTTCTGCCACACTTCACATGTTGGTCAGTTAGTAGTATTTCTATTATGTATAATAATAACATTATATAAACTGTCATTTAACTTAATTCCATGCTGGTGGTATGTAAATCCAAAAAATGTTGCAAGTAAATTAAACTGCCATGGTGCCCATGTTTGAATGAAAGGGACGCTTTTATTAGATGAAAAAAGTAAACTAATACAGAATCAGAAAGTACTTTTAGCCCCCATTCGCACCTAAGCAATGCAACTACATGTTGCATGTCTGCTGCCAGGGCCGCCATCAGGGGGTTACTGTCAATACCCATGTAGGGGCTTGAGCAGCCTGGGGTACCCGGGCCCTGTGGCGGCCCTACCGCCAATAGTTCCAGTGGTGGAGGAGGCCAGGCCCAAGCGGCAGAGGAGGCCAGAGCCCAGCAGCGCCGATTCGGCGGCAGAGGAGGCCAGGGCACAGCAGTGCCGGTCCGGTGTGTCTGGAGGAAGCCTGGGCCCAGCAGCGTAAGCAGGTAAGAGGAGCTGCATGGCCAGCCCACCTGAGACCCTACAGAGCCCACCATAGAGAGTCTCAGATGGGCTATGCATGATGTATGGTGTGCTTTGCAGGGTCACTCTCAGGTGGTCTCTGCGGGGCCTCAGGTGTCTTGAGTCTAGTGCGATAACTAAGTCTTGAGTCCAGTGCATTAATAAGTCCTGAGACCAGTGCATTATTAAGTACTGAATCCAGTGCGTTAATAAGTCCCGAGTCCAGTGCGTTAATAAGTCCTGAGTCCAGTGTGTTACTAAGTCCTGAGTCCAGTGTGTTACTAAGTCCTGAGTCCAGTGTGTTAATAAGTCCTGAGTCCAGTGCGTTAATAAGTCCTGAGTGCAGTGTGTTACTAAGTCCTGAGTCCAGTGCGTTAATAAGTCCTTAGTCCAGTGTGTTAATAAGTCCTGAGTCCAGTGCGTTAATAAGTCCTGAGTGCAGTGTGTTACTAAGTCCTGAGTCCAGTGCGTTAATAAGTCCTTAGTCCAGTGTGTTAATAAGTCCTGAGTCCAGTGCGTTAATAAGTCCTGAGTCCATTGCGTTAATAAGTCCTGAGACCAGTGCGTTAATAAGTCCTGAGACCAGTGCGTTAAGTAAGTTCTGAGTCCAGTGCATTAATAAGTTCTGAGTCCAGTGCATTAATAAGTCCTGAGTCCAGTGCGTTAATAAGTCCTGAGTCCAGTGCGTTAATAAGTCCTGAGTCCAGTGCGTTAATAAGTCCTGAGTCCAGTGCATTAATAAGTCCTGAGTCCAGTGCTTTAAAAAGTCCTGAGTCCAGTGCGTTAATAAGTCCTGAGTCCAGTGTGTTACTGAGTCCAGTGTGTTACTAAGTCTTGGGCATCCTGGACCTGAAGTGAGTCTTTTTGATGAGTACAGTTGTCACATGTGGAATATAATGCAGCGATCGATCTGCAGGAACAGAAAACGAATTGATAATGATAACATAGGTATAATGCTTTGTCTGTCATTAGTCGTGCCTTTGTCACAGCACAATAAAGCGCCGACTGCAGTTCTCCCCGCCAAGCCAATGAGTGGCCCTGACTGCTGCAGTGTCCTTCAATAAGTGACAATCAAGGAGTGACATCAGCCTGGCTGAAACATGCCTCCCTCCTATACACAATCCGTTCAGGCGGCCCACTACACTATAGCATCTGCTAATGTCTCCCGAATCGGGGGATTACCGGGAGAACACCGGGAAACTCACCTATGGTCACCACGGCAACCACTTCCAGCACCCATCCATTAGGGACCAATTCACCCAGCTGTAACACTGGCAGCGGTAGGCTATCCTCAGGCCAATACGTGGCCAATCACATGACGGCTCCTTAAAAGCACGCCCACTACAGCAGCGTGCCGGAAGCCACATTGTTACTCCCGGTAGAAAGAGGGCATACAGAAGTCAGCTGCCTGCGTGCCTCCGCGCCATTGCGCGTCCCCGACATTCAGTTCGCACACTGCGCATGAGCACTCTCTTCTGGACTCAGTGCGTTAATAAGTCCTGAGTCCAGTGCGTTAATAAGTCCTGAGTCCAGTGCGTTAATAAGTCCTGAGTCCAGTGCGTTAATAAGTCCTGAGTCCAGTGCGTTAATAAGTCCTGAGTCCAGTGTGTTACTAAGTCCTGAGTCCAGTGTGTTACTAAGTCTTGGGCATCCTGGACCTGAAGTGAGTAAAGCTTTGTTTATTTTATTTGGCCTTTTCTATGCCAAGAAACTCTCTTTTTGGGGGGGCTGTTGTGCTAGAAACTTTGTATCCTGGACCTGAAGTAGGGTTGCCACCCATCCGGGATTCACCTGGACAGTCCGGGTTTGGAATCCTGTGCCCGGGTGTAAGCCCACCTCACACCTGGGTATATTATTCTCACCGGACTTGTGGCTAGAAAGCCGCAGCCGTGCATAACTCTCGGCGCTGTCACTCCAGTCCCTCCACTCTCGCTCCCTCCGTTTTTCTCCTCCGCGGCTGGGACTGGGTGAGAGGAAGTAACATCAGGGAGATAGGGAGAAATCATCCTCCAGCAGCCGGCTCCACCACGCGCTTTCGTCTGCGACCGCCCTAGTTCTCACTGACTAACAGGTATTTATTAAATTCAATATCAATTGAAAAGGGGGGGGGGGGGGGGGGGGGGTGGTATCGACAA